TGAGCTTGACTCTTATCCAATGATGTTGTTCTAGCCAATTAATGATAGTTGCGGGATAGCTCGCCTTTCCGGTGACCAATTCATTCTCTGTCGTGAATCTTTTCTTACTGGGCCACTTATTTGAAAAGTAATCATCCGATTGATCAGGGTGGTGAGATAGATCTCGTTATTATTTGAGGTTTGATCTTGAACAAAGCTATTTTACTTTGTTATCGAGAGTTTATATCAAAATATTCCGTGTATCGTGATGGATTAGCTAGGCTATCAGTGGCGTATACAAAAGAAGAAATTTTCCAACGGGAAAAGATTATACGGCGAATGGTAGCTTACTGAAGCACATATAAGAACAGAAAAGAGCCAAAGAAGAATCGTTGGAAAAAAATTTAGAGTTATGCTCTCAAAAATATGTAATAGAGATTTTATTCCCGACTTTTTCTTCTTTTGTGTACGTTGATGTATGTCTGTGAGCAGCGAAGAATGTGCTTTGAGTTGTAATTAATTAGTGTTATTCATAAGTTTGCTGGAACCGGAAATATCACTTGTACATTATACGTACCGTTGAGAACATTTCACAACTTCAACTACTTTCTACCGTCTGATCTTGCCTTTGCTATTATTCATATCAGTCAATCCGTTGTCAATTACTGAATGTTTCGTGCTGATATTGTAAATAGATTTCGTAAGGATATGCTGCTGTGATGAATTGTTGTTGTTTCCAACTTTTTTCTTCCTTATGTTAGAATTCTTTCGTTCCTCTCTCAAAATATGACTCATCGAAAGTGTTTCGTGAGTGTTAACGCCCTTTTGTGCGTTGACGATCATCATCACTTAATGGATTTCATTGGTTATTGTTTTCATTCTCTTAATTCGTTGTCCTTAATGCTCTCGAAATTCAGTTGAATCTTTAAATCACTGATTTCCAATATCTTTCATTAACCCAAATTCCACTTTTTCATTCCTTTATTTGTCGTTTTGGAGCCAATCATCTCGAAGAATTCGTTAATATCAAATTGTCTGAAAATGTTCATTCGCTCAAGTAGACCAATTGTTATTGTCGCTGTTTTTCTGTATTATCATTAATATAATTTTTATTATTTTTGTTATTATTGTCACAGCAACAGTTATTAATATTATTTTTATAATTAAGGTCAGCATCATTATCAATTTTGTTCATGTCATTTTATTTTGGAGTTGGTTGCGATTTAACTGTAATTGATGCAGTGCTATCATTACGTATTGTTGTTGTCATTCATAATCATTGCTGATGAACATTTTCGCTGTTAACGATATCATATTGATATCATATTGATAACGATATTGATATTATTTTTGAAGAACTTTATTGGTCTTTTTACTGAGCGTTGTTTTGTTTGTTGGTGATTTTTCGTTGTTATTACGTCCGGTTAAAAATATTTGTGGAATTTTTCAAATAATGAAAATTTGTGCAAATGCCTCACATCAGTGAAATTCGCACCTGTTTCTTTACATTTCAAAATTCTTATAATCTTTCTTAATAAGATATTTTTCAGACTGAATTGAACGAACGCTATTCAGTTCAGACATTGCTTTCAGACGGTTGAACATTGCTTTGACGAAAGTCTGACTTTCCGAAATGATTCAAATTCGAAGCGATGCCTGATCTGAATACTGATTACCAGCTCGTTAACGCTAGCCTTTCCTATCGCACTTTGCTGTACCATACATTTGCAATGATTAATTTACCGAGAAACGAAATCAGCTCGAAAGAGATGCATCAAAGTCAGTCAATACGCAAGAGTGTTCTCGGATCATTGAAGGCAAAGATTCTGATCTAAATAGAAGAGATTTATTGGACATCTTAAATGATGAATTAGAAAACAATTTCAGAATGTCAAACTCAGTGAAACGTAAATGTAAAAATGCAAAAGTGTACCAATATTTTTCCATTACACTCAATTTGTTTCGTTCCAAGACGTTTTTGGATGTCAGTGTGATGCAGAAGGAAGGATCATTTCATAGGATCATAAGAAAATTAATCATAGGAAAATAATCACGTTACTGGTTGTT